TATCCTACTAGTAATAAGTAAGGATCAATAATAACTAGAACTATATTTCAAAAAATAATAATTATTGTACTATCCGCAAATGCTTTCAATGAACTTAACAACAACCTGACCTTGCAAAAAATGTTTCGAACAATTTTAAGTATTTTGAAGGTCATGCAATTAATTTCCGAAATATATTTGTATTGATATAAGGGTCCATGGTCATCCATATAAAATTCCTTATCGCTTTTTAGATATTGTGAATATCGAATCATTCGAAGTAGCTGTAATTTGTCATTTAGGGTTCTCAAGCGATAAAATATCATATCACTAGGCTTTGTTTTATCATGGCTCCTTAAAATGGTACCGATTGATTTAAGATATTTTAAAGATCCTAGCTATATTTTCCAAACAAATAAACTTTTTACTGACAGCAGTGTTGCTTCATCTCTTTCATTAAGTTTAAAATATTCTATTGACAACGAAAAGTGTCAACGACGTATATTTTCTTGGTGTACTGGAATATAAAGGAATCATCACCAAGGTAGGCTGTACGACGTATGACCCATCAATTCCACGTTTTGGATGGTCAAAGAGGCGTTAGTTCGAATCGAGGCAAATGTGGTGTAGCATTTAGAACTGATCTCTTACGTTGCTTAAGCGGAACAGTCTTCACATGATCAGTTTTGCCAAAGAAACATTTCCTTCTTTCATGAACAACATTTCCTTCTTTCATGAACAACTTTCTTTCGATTTGGTGGGTTGTAGAAGAAAATTCACACCTGTGACAACCTCAATAATGTTTTTTTGAAGTACTGCTATCGAATTTTTAAGCCTGTCAAATTGTGCAGGACTCAACGATAACAAATATTATTTAAAGTCAGACGTTCATGTAATATAAATCGTGTATGCTAATGAAAACCAGTAAGGAAAGATCAAAAGTCGGACAGAACCGACCATATGACACCGTTCACCACTTTGGATACTCTTGTATGTATGATAATGTGTGCATTATCCTATAGATAGAAGAGACAAAGCATCTATGAAATTCCATTAAAATAGAATCGGGCGAACTTGGATTTTTTTTGGTGTAACATTTGTATGAAATTCAGCAAAATTATGTATGGGAGTAATATGTATGGGAGTAATAATGAATTGAATTCAAAAAAACTTCACAGACATCAAACTGGACTTAATTCAGTATGCTGTGCAAAATTTTGTCTCCATCGACCAAATCTTGGGAGTGTGATGTACCATTTACATAATATCGGACGAAACTATATGGGAGCTATATCTACAAATCCTTCATATGGGAACAAGTGTTCAAAAAGACGAATCCGCAATTTTTTTTTTTTACAATGGGAAAATTAGGAATGCGTGCTGTCATTAAATATTTACAAACAAGCCAGTCGGTGTTGCCGACAGATATATACCCCCAGCCTATGGTTTGCGGAGGTCTTCGGAATTACACACACATTTAATTATTAGCATTATATAAGAAATATATTTTTATCAAAGAGGGTTTGGATTATTTAATAAAATAACATTTTATAAAATATTGGCCATTTGTGACCTGAAAAAGTGGACTACTGGTTCCCATCTCCGGAATTGATATAGGGTTGGTAAAGATAATTGTTGTACAAGGTTTGGTTGAAATATGTCATTCCATTGGATTTATAAATATTGAACATTTTAACCATTTGTGTGGGAGGTACCAGAAGGAGTGGTCCAATGGGTCCCATCTTTGAACTTAATCTAGACTTCGTAAAGATAATAGGTTGTGCAAAGTTTGGTTCATATCGGACATTCCATTCGCCTGATATTGTATTTATAAATATTGAAAATTGAAATACCAGAAGGAATGGTCCAATGGGTGCCATCTTTGAACTTAATCTAGACTTCGTAAAGATAATGGGTTGTGCAAAGTTTGGTTCAAATCTGACATTCCATTCGCCTGATATTGGATATACAAATATTGAAAATATTGACCATTTTTGGGGGAGGTACCAGAAGGAGTGGACCAATGGGTCCAATCTTCCTACTTGACCTACGCTTGGTAAAGATAATACGCTGTACAAAATTTCGTTTAAATCCGATAGACCGTTTGGATGTTATTATAAAATAAATTTTTAGCAACATTTTGATCATTTTGTGGGAGAGGTACCAAAAGGAGTGGACCGATATTTCCCATCCTAGAACTTTTTGATTTTTTGAAGAAAAAAATGTACCAAGATCTTTAAAATTGTTCCCGCAGAAAGATATACTACTTAAGGTTTGTGAAATTTCTAAAAATACTACCAAAGGATCTGCAAGTTTTTCTATAGGAAACATTAGTTCCCATGAGTATATGAATTTGTTTTGTAGAAAAAACATAGTACCCAAGGGTCTGTGATTGTTTATTCAATAGAAAATTAATACCCAAGGTTCTGTGAATATCTTTCTATAGAAAAAAATAGTACCTAAGGGTCGTATTTTTTTCTATACAACAGCGTTCATACGGAAAATGGCAAATCAAAGGTTATGTTCCGTATGTTAAACTTGGGCTAAAATGTGGACAGATATTCAAAAATTTGCCACCGAATGAGAGTCAATTTGCTTGAAAACTGTGCCCACAAATATCGATGTTATATGAAGTATAATCTTAACTTAAATAAATAATAATATTTGATAGGGATATTTTCTATCCAATAATAATCCAACATTGGTTGCAAAATATACTCAAGTTCCACATAAATACCTAAAATGCCATAATCGAGTATCATGCAGCCGTTCAGGTATAAGAAGCAAATGATTCCAAACTATTCCAGGTCAGGTCAGATGATTGTCCAGATGAAACAATACGTGATCATTGGACTTATTTTTGCCCTGAATCGAAGATTTTAACCTGGACCTATATTAATATTTTTGCAAGAAGTTCATCTATCAACTAAGAATCGGAAATATAGTGGCCAAATTGTGGGCCCTATATTAACTCGATTAATAAAGATTTACAAGCGAATGAAAGATGCGATATACAAAAATAATAAAGGGATTGAAAAAAGGATATGTTTTATTTTTGTTTACAGAATTCTCCTTGCATTCAACCTCCATGAATTTTCTGTAAAAATGTGAGATAATGATTGCTTAATTTGGCTTTGAAAAAATCGGTATACCAATTTAAAAAGTATTAAACAATGTCCAATATATAATTTTTTAAGATTTTGCCGAAGTATGAATATTTCCCCATAAAAATCATCAGCTCACATAGTAGAACTCTTGTATCCTTATTATAAATCCTTGCAACAAACGGTAGTGCCAACAATAATGTTTGTTTGTTCCACCGTTTATAGACATTTATAATATTAACATTTTAATAGCCTTTAATAAAATCATTAGCATGACAATTTATATATGTATATATATACATATATAATTTATTATTTATTATTATTTTTGTTGATTTTTTTATTCATTTAATATTTATTTGTATTTAATTATTGTACATTATGGATGTGTATGCAGTTGTTGTTGTCGTTTTTTCTTGTGTCTGTGAATGATATTAACATGTGTTACATTGTTGTTTTTGTTGTTACGAAATTACCGGATTATTTCTTTTTTGTTTGTATTTCATTTAATTTTATTATTTATATTTTCTTTCATGTAAATATAAATAATTTTTCAAGCAGACATTTAAATGTAATTTACATTTAGTTATGAGTTTCCTTTTTCATTTAATATTACTTTTTTTTAATGTCATTGTTATATATGTTTCATATTTATATATGTATATGTGTTTATGTACGTGTATATACTGTGTCAAAGCCCATGGACGGTACCTAAATCATTTTCTTCTTCTTTATTTTAGAAAACACTGCTGCCTTGTTCTTGGGGGTGTGTGAGTGACTTTTGTGTTAGCAATTTAAATATTTTTCAAAATTCGTTTTCAACGATTTTGAATTGGAAAAATAATGTATATATTTATATATAGTAATTGAGGTTAGGTTACAAAAAATAAGTAGTAATACTTTTGGAGGGGATTATTAAATATTTTTGTTTGGAATAATAGTTTTCTTCTTTTTTTTAATATGCTGCCTTGTATATCAATAATTTGAGTAAATAATTTATTTGTTTTCTTTTGGTTCCAGGAGAAATAGTTTTTTTCTTTTTTGTTGTGGATTTGTTTTTAATATTTTGTTGTTTGTTAATTGATATGGTTGTTAGTTTTGTGTTAGCAAACATTTGAACTGTAATCATATAGAATGGCCATAATAGTTGTTTTTGTTTTTTCTTTTATGCTTTACATTTAAAGCAGTATTGGAAAATTATATATAATATTTTTATATATATATTAAAAAATTATATTAAATATTTTTTGTTAAGTATTGTATGATTTTGGTTATTAATATATAAAATTAAATGTTAGTAAATTAATTTTTTTTATATATATAATAAAAATGAGTATTAAATTGGATGATGATTTTTGTTTTTAAAATTATTTTAATTAAATTGTAATTTATAATTAGGGGGTTAATTTATTAAAAATTATATTAATTATTTTTTAAATTTTTGCTTTGGTTTTGAAAACTCATTTAGGGTTTTTTTATTTATTCTTTTTCTTAATTTACATTTACAATGACAAATATTATTTGCCTTGAGGGGGTTTTCACTGTTTTGTTATTTTTTGTTTAATAATTTTTTCCTTATATTTAAAGTCCTTAATTTTAAGTTTTAATAATTTTATTTTTTTATTTCTTCTTTGTGTTCATTTTTTTAGTTTAAATTGTTTAATATTAGTATTCCCACACCTGGTGTAAAAAGAGAGAAAGAGAGAAGAAAAAAATTGCAAAAAATATGTTATCATATTAGTCACATTATTAATAACAGCTGATGAATGTTTTATTAATTTTTTTATTTTGTTTTTTGAGGTTAGCTACAAATTAAAAATTGGTTTTAGAATTCGGGTGTTTTAAAAAAGCCAAAGCATTTTGTGATTTAGTTACTTTAAAATAAAAAAGGGGAACAAGAGGGAAGATTTAACTTACCGGAAGCCCAGCTTTGCCAGAAGGACCCATTGGTCCGGAATCACCACGCATGCCCATAGGACCCTAAAATGAAAATTAAAAAAAAAATGTTAAATATTATTTATTCGGTGGCGTATACATAATGACATTAATTATACGAACAAGAGTTCGAAAAACTGAAGGTAGAGAAAATGAAGAACAAACAAAAAATGTAAACAGAAGACCTTCTAGAACCCATGGGACGTTGGATATTTGTATAAGAAAAAATTGGATCCACACTCTTTAATTGTTTTTCTATAGAAGAACATAAGATCCAAGAGCCTGTGAATTTTTTCTATGAAAAAACTGAACTAAATTTATCTGTTTTTCTTTCTATCGGATCGGAGGCTTTTTTTCGAGATCCCAAGGGTGTATAAATTTATTTCTATAATAAAAACTAGGACCAGAATGTCTGTGAATTTTTCTTATGGAAAAAATAGGACCTGCTCGTCTGTAGATTTTTTGTGCTTTTTCCCATAAAAATAGGAAATGAAACTCTGAGAAGTTTTTTTCTATAAAAATTGGATTTGAAGATTTGTGAATTTTTTCTATAGAAGAAAATAGGACCAGAGGGTCTGTAATTTTTTTCTCTATGGAAAAAAGACCTGATTATCCGACCTGAGGGTTGTGAATATTTTTCTATAAAAAATACGATATGAATGACTGTGAATTTATTTATATAGAAAAAATGTAGAACCCTTAGGTCTAAGAATTTTTTCTATAGGAAAAACAAGAATCTGTCAGTTTATTTTTTCTAAAAAAATGGGATCTAAGGGTCTGCGAATATTTTCTATAGAAAAAAACTGGTGTGTGAAAAAGTTTCTATAGAAAGAAACAGGACCTGAGTGTATGTTAATTTTAATCCTATAGAGAAATATGCTTCTAACAAAATAGGACCTATTTTTTATTTCTATACAGAAAATAGGACCTCCTGAGGGTCTGTGAATATTTTTCTATAGAAAACAAAACCTAAGGGTTTGTGAATTTTTTCATTGATTTTTTTTCTATAGAAAAAAATAAGACCTGAGGGTCTGTGAATTTTTTTCTATATGATTGTGTGTGTGATTTTTTTCTACAGAAAAAATAAGGCCTGAGGTTCTGTGATTTTTTCCTATAAAAAAATAAGACCCAAGGGCTAGTGATTTTTTTCTATAAAAAAATTAAGAACTGAGGGTCTTTGCATTTTTTTCTATCGGAAAAAATAGGACCTGAGGGTCTTTGAATTCTTTTTCTATAGGAAAAAATAGGACCTGAGGGTCTGTGAATTTTTACTATAGGAAAAAATAGGACCTGAGGGTCTGTGAATTTTTTTCTATAGAAAAAATAGGACCTGAGGGTCTGTGAATTTTTTTCTATAGAAAAAATAGGACCTAAGGGTCTTTGAATTTTTTTCTATAGAAAAAAATAGGACCTGAGTGTCTTCGATTTTTTTCTATAGAAAAAAAGAAGACTTCTATAGAAAAAAATAAGACTTGAGGGTCTGTGAATTTTTTTCTAAAGAAAAAAATAAGAACTGTTGTTCTGTGAATTTGTTTCTATAGACCTGAGGGTCAGTGAATTGTTTTTATATGAAAAAAAATAAACTTGAGGGTGTCTATTTTTGTTTAGAAAAAATAGTACCTGAGAGTCTGATTTTTTTTTATAAAAAATAGGAGTTGAGGGTCTGGGATTTTGGGATCTGTAAAAGAAAACCCCAAGGTTCTGTGATTTTTTTCTTTAGAAATAAAAATATGACCTGAGGGTCTTTGAATTTTTTTCTAAAGGCCCAGGTTTCTGCAGAACAAAAATAGGCATTCGAATTTTTTAATTTTAAAATAAATCCCAAATTTCTTAGATTTTATTCTATAGAAAAATTAGGTCCCTTGGGCCTGCGATTTCTTTTTTTATGGAACAATTATTAACAATTATAATCTACTACTTACCGGCAGACCCATAGGACCCTGATCACCTTTTGTGCCTTTCTCGCCAGGATCTCCTTTGCGGCCATCCAAACCTCTTTCACCAGGTTTGCCGGGATGGCCAGGAGGTCCCATGGGACCAGGTGGACCGGGAGGACCATAAAGCTAAACGAAACGAAAAAAAATAAAACAAAAAGAAAATAAAAAATAAATAAAACCAAATCAAAACATATAAAAAATATCTGACTACTTACATATTCAATTGTGGGCATATGGTGTGGGGCATCCGCCATGCCATCATCTTGACGTCTGCGCATTTTACGATACTTCTAGTGAAAGGGCTAATCAGAAAACTTTCCAAAACAAAATAGAGACAAATCTTAAATACTCACTGAGTCACCGCGATCGCCTTTGTCACCCTTGACTCCCGGGTAGCCGGGTGGACCTGGCAAACCAGGTGGTCCCATAAGACCAGGTGGGCCAATATCACCACGATCTCCCTTTTCGCCGGGTGGTCCTTGATAACCTGGCAAACCAGGTGGACCTTCAATACCAGGTTCACCGGGTAGGCCGTCTAAGCCACGAGGACCCAAAGAACCAGGTTCTCCTGGCTCGCCCGGTTCACCCTTGGCACCGTCTCTGCCGTCACGACCATCTTTGCCGGGTATGCCAGGAGGACCTGGGGGACCACGCAACAAAGTAACTGGAGGATCATCATAATCTTCATCTTTAGCACCGGCAGGACCAAATATCTGTTCGATTATACATTTTTGGGAAGCATGCAGAACATTTTGGGAAGGGAAGAAGATAAGAAATTTAATTAGTTAAAAACACATTTTGCGGAAATCAATTACTCTTTCTCTCTTTTGTGTTACACTTCTCACTCTTTGGGTGTTGTTACATGTTTTTGGTGTTACTTTCCCACTTGTTGTGTATTTCGTTTAATTTTGTTGTTATTTTTTGTTGCTGTGTAAATATTTTCTGTGTTGGGCCTTAGGGCCATACATTTTTTATCTGTTACTTTTTTCTCTGTGTGTGTGGTTTTTGTGCATTTATTGGTGTTTTTGCTTTGGGTAATCAATATCCTGTGCTGTGTGTTTTTTCTTTTTGTTGTTGGTGTTTCCATTACCTGTTTTATATTCGTGTTTAGGAAGGATGTGGTTGAGGTTAATAACATTAAAGTGCCGGTACAATACAAAAAAAAGGTGTACACGTTTATGTGTTGTGTGCATGTGTTCGGAATTTTTATCTCAAATATATCGACATAAGTTCGGTTTTTTTTTATACATTTCAAGAATTTGTTGTTGTGTGAGTTTCTTTGGCACAATTTTTGCAAATTGTTGTCTTCTTTGGATTAAATAAGTAAACATTATTTGCTGCTAATATATACACTGAGCGAAGCAGGAAGCGGGTTATTAAAATATCTTCATATAAGGCGTATAACTAACGACAACACTTATACGTCATTGGGTACTATAACCAAATAATACTAATTTTTATTACAAATATATAAATAAATAGGACCCTAGAGTGTATGGAAAAAACTAGAACTCAAGGGTCTGTGCATTGAAAACAAAACCAAAGAGGGTCTTTGAATTTTTTCCTATAGAAAAAATAAGACCTGAGGGTCTGTGAATTTTTTTCTATAGAAAAAAATAAGACCTGAGGGTCTGTGAATTTTTTTCAAATTTAGATAAATATCATATTTTTTTCTATAGAAAAAAATAAGACCTGAGGGTCTGTGAATTTTTTTTTTCTATAGAAAAAATACATTTTTTTCTATAGAAAAAAATACAGTCCTGTGGTCTGTGAATTTTTTTCTATAGAAAAAAATACAGTCCTGTGGTCTGTGAATTTTTTTCTATAGAAAAAAATACAGTCCTGTGGTCTGTGAATTTTTTTCTATAGAAAAAAATAAGACCTGAGGGTCTGTGAATTTTTTTCTATAGAAAAAAATTAGACCTGAGGGTCTGTGAATTTTTTTCTATAGAAAAAAATAAGACCTGAGGGTCTGTGAATTTTTTTCTATAGAAAAAAATAAGACCTGAGGGTCTGTGAATTTTTTTCTATAGAAAAAAATAAGACCTGAGGGTCTGTGAATTTTTTTCTATAGAAAAAAAATAAGACCGACCGGGGGTCTGTGAATTTTTTTCTATAGAAAAAAATAAGACCTGAGGGTCTGTCAATTTTTCTCTGTAGAAAAAAATAAGACCTGAGGGTCTGTGAATTTTTTTCTATATATGAGATGTTTGCTATACTACCCATAGGTGTGTCCTTTTCTTTATAGAAAATAGCATGCAAGACATAATTTTTATTAATGGGAGAGATTGAGTCGTATACATAACGACAGCACGTATACGCTCCTTTACAAGTATTTATTTTCCCAGTGTATCTCCTTTGTTTTTTTATTTTTTACTTCTACAACAATGTCTAATGCGATAACTACTAACTGCCATTCATTTCCATTATCCTTAAACAAATATTCGTTTAACCTCAGAACGTGTATGGGTGGTGTATATCGGTATAGATGATATTGATGGGTTTTCTATGATGCGTACAAAACAACACGTGTTCAAGTGTAAGTGAGAGAGAGAAACTCATAGGTATTCTGTATGTTTATTTGTGTACGTCTCATTCTCCATGAACTATATAATAGTAGGACATAGATAGTTGTTTAAGAGTGTTGGTAATTGTGAGGTTATGTTGTCATACTCTCACACAACAACACAAAACCACATGCTCATCTTAACCGGAAGTTATTCATACCGGTGTTTTTTAGAATTTTCCTGAAGGCAAACACACTCACTCACACACATATGTATGTATGCATAGAAGAAGGATGTTTAAAGTACAAAGTTGTGTAGACATATATGAGTGTGTGAGTGAGTGGTGTGGTTGTCGTTGTCTTTTTTGCATTCTGCATAAGAAAATATGCGAAGGAGAATGTTATGCTTTGACAAGGTGTTGTTCCGTAGCATACCTCAAATATTAGATAGTTAATTAAAGTTTATGAAATAAAAAAACAACATGAGTAGAACAACAAACAAGTTTTCATGTAGCTGGAAAAACTCTAAAGAGGCACACACGCTCATACCATGGTATTTCTTGATTATTTGCCTTTGGCTTTAAATATTTTGACTCTATTATTGTTATGAGTAGAGAAGATGAATAAGTTGTAGGCATGTCATTTAGTGTGCAGTATATTGCATTTGAAGAGAAATCAATTGAAATTGTCATAATGTTTGTCTAGGTTAATTGAAAAGTTCATATCAAAATATTGTTCAATAACACTTCTGTTGACTTGCCAAGAAAACTAGGTTGGATTTTTAAATTGATTTTGATGAAAGAAAAACAAATTGAGTTGAAGTTTGTTGAAGAAAGTTATGTTGCAAGTAATTTATTGAGAATAATATTTAGATTTTTTTTGATTCACTATTTGAAGAATGTTTTCAGAAGATATTTAAGGTTAAAAGAGGAAAATGCTGACGTATACGTGATGACAGTAATTATTCGCCCAAATACGAAACATATTTTTATTTAAATGATAATTACCGGGAAGTATAAGTTTTGACATTATGTATACGCCAGGAAGAATAATTAAATTGGTTGTTTTTTTTTTTTTTTCTTTAGAAAAAAGGACCAAAGAGGAGTTTTTTCTATTGGATACTATTATATCTGTAGAATATTGGGTACCAATTTATCTCTAGGATAAAATAGTACTCAAGTATCTGCGAATTTTTTATAGGAACAATGAGTTGGTAAATTTTATCTATAGGACCCAATGTTCTATGATTTTTTTTTAGGAAAAGGATCCAAAGTCTCAAGATTCTGTGATTTTTTCCTGTGAAAAAAATATGACCGAAGAGTCTGCGATTTTTTTGGAAAAATAAGACTCAAGTTTCTATGAATTTGGTTTTTTCTATAGAAAAAAAGTAATACCCAAGGGTCTGTGAATTGTTTTCTACAAAGAAAATCGGGGCCGTGTCTGTGAAAAGAAAAATACGACTAAAAGGTCTGTGATTTGTTTGTATCGGAAAAAAGCAAATGTGACGTATACGTTATGTCAGTAATTATACGCACTTAATGCATTTTTTAATTTCATCAAAATGAAAGCCGATCATAAGTTCATAGAAGTTAAGGTAACTTAATCCGGTCGAAATCTCCGAATGTATTTATAACTTTGGTTCGATTTGATTTTTGTTTTTTTACATCAATTTGAGATTTTGTGGTCAAAATATCATGACAGCTTGTATATGCTCGGGAGAGTTCTGGAATATTTAGATTTTTTTAGTTATCGTGCTTATTCCTTTTTGTTGTATACTTTTGTTATATTTATATTATATACTGTTAATATATGAAAATATACTGAACAAAGGAAGGGAGATATTGAAATATCTGTCGTAAAAGGCGTTTAATTAAGGGCAAAACTTAAACACTCTCAAGTACCATAAGTAGTTTGTAGTTACATTATTTATAACAAAAATGGGATTTTCTTCTATAGAAAAAATATAACCCAAGGGTCTTGGGAATGTTTTTCTTTACCAAAAAATATAACTGATTGTTTTCTATAGCAAACAGTCATTTATATTTGTTTTAAATTATATTAGCACAATGAGACATATAATTGACGTCATTACTTATACGTGTAGGAGTCTGCATATTTTATTACTCCTGTAGTTACAATATTTATAACAAAACTAGGACTTATGGATTTTTTTCTGGAGAAAAAAATATAACCCAAAGGGCGGCGAATATATCCCCTTAGTAAAAAACATCGATTTTTTTTTCTATTCAAAAAACAGGACGCAAGTGTAATTTACATTCGCTTTAAATAATATATACGCAATGAGACATATAATTGACGTCATTACTCATACGTGTAGGAGTCAGCACAATTAATTACTGAGAAAAATTGAAAATCGACGCTGCGTTGTTCTTTATTACTGTTCTTCTTATATATATCGATTTGTCTATTTTTTTAGAACTGAAAAACGATCGTATGAATGATATCATCATGTATACGCACTGTACACCTTTATATACTTCCAATTATATTACAGTAAAGTACTGTTATAGCGAACTAGTAGGGACCGAGCAAATTAGTTCGTTATATCCAAAGTAAGGCAAACCCTAGGATAATTAGGAAAAAAATATATTCAGTTCTGAATATATTCATGTATACGCACTGCTGTCATAAAATGTGAGTTCTATTTTTTTATCAACATTATATCCTTTCGAACTGTACAAAAACAAATTCTATATTAAATTTAAAAATTATAATTTTAGTATTTGTTACATTAAATTTTTACAAATAATATGAAGAAGTTTTAAATTTAAGGGGACCCCCCATTCTCGGTGTCAAAATTTTTTTGATTTAATTCGAAACTACATTAATTCAAGAATGTCCCTACAAAATTTCAGGTGAAAATCTCAAGAACTCTTGAAGATATAGCCGATTTATTGTGTCAGCATCAAGTGACGGCTAAAGGGCTTCTTAAACATTAAAGACGTTTTTTCTCTTTTGCGAATGGCGGGCACGATAACTCAAAAACTAATAACCCAATCTATTCCAAATTTTTGCACGCTTCTTTGTGAGTGCATAGCTATCGCATGAACTAGGATAAAGCTAGTCGGTGAAGATCTTCCTTATTTTTTAACTTGGTTTTTGGACAAAAATCGGCGATTTTCCAAAAATATTTTTTCAAAGGTCCGTCATTTTGTAAATTTTAGAGCGAAGTCAATAATACTTGTC